ACCGGAGTACCTGGAGAAAACCCACGCAAACACCAGGAGAACATGCAAACCCCACACAGAAAGACATCAGGTCCAAACTGGGGATTGAACCCAGGACCATCTATGCACGGAGTAAGGAGAAAAAGACAAAACCCTTCCTGATGGCTAGCCAAATAGCCATTTTGATCATTTTTCAGGCTTTAAAAACAACTCTGTCAAAAACAACAAACTATTGTTAAAGAGTGCTATATTTGCTAATATTACACCTCTACGGTTTTGCATGACATGGCTTGTTTGGCTTGTTGCTGTTTTCCCAACAGAACAACGTCCATGTTACTTTGCCAGTGTGTCTCCGATGCTGCTGAAGCTGCTGAATGTATCGGTTCGCCCAGTCTGCATGTCTAATCAGTCCATCCATCCATTATCTTTTACTCCCTTCTTCCTTTTTGGGTCGCGGGGGTCAATGGTGCCCATGTCCAGCCATCACTGTGCAAGAGGCAAGGGACACCCTGGACAAGTCACCAGCCCATCACAGGGACACAGAGAGACAAACGAGACAAAGAAACATTCACATTCTCACTCACACCTAAGGACTAGAGATGCACGATATTGGAATTTTGGCCAATTTCCGACACGCCGATATGTTAAATTATTTGGCCGATAACCGATACCAATACCGATTATTTTTTCCCCTAGACCTATTTACAGAGACTGCATAGCTTTCTCTGCTGTGGAATTAAAATACTACATTATTCTGCATGGTCTTTCTTTGTCAGTTTGATCTGCTACCAAATGCAGATGCCAAAAAGGAGGTCTGAAAATGATGTAACACTTCAACTTGGATTATGTTCAATGTCAAATTTATTCATGACATTTACTCTCTGGGTTGTCCTACAAAAACACCACCATATATATATATATATCCATCCATCCATCCATTTTCTTTACCCGTTTATTCCATTTTGGGTCACGGGGGTCGCTGGTGCCCATGTCCAGCAATCACTGTGCGAGGGGCGGGGTACACCCTGGACGGGTCGCAAGTCCATCACAGGGCCACATAGAGACAAACGAGACAAACAACCATTCACTCTCTCACTCACACCTAGGGACAATTTAGAGTTACCAATCAGCCTAACATGCATGTTTTTGGTCTGTGGGAGGAAACCGGAGTACCCGGAGAAAACCCACGCATGCATGGAGAGAACATGCAAACTCCTCCCAGAAAGGCCTCCGTACCATGATTTGAACCAGGGACCTGCTCCCTGAGAGGCAGCAGCTCTACCAGTTGCGCCACCGTGCTGCCCACTCTGTGCAACATTTGCACAAAAACACAAATGCTGTTCGAATAAACAACTTTTTTTTTTTTTTTGAAAGACTTGTGTTTTAAGCCTGAAAACATATGTGTCTTTGTTTGACTAGATTGGAGGAAGACTTGCTTTTTTTCACATTACTTAAACAGTGAGCAGACTATCCCTTTAAATTAGACTCATAGAGCTGGATTTACTTGCAAAAACAACAACAGCAAACCAACACAAATTCAGGTTGTTCTGGGCATGTCAAACGTTTACCCTATAAGGTGACAAACGCTTGTGTCTGCATATTCTCCCTGGCAGGATGTCTTTGTGGTTTGGGTTTTCAACGCTCTGAACACTACTGCAGCATGACGTCTGACATCTACCACCTCCCACTCAATGTCTATGTCATTGTGCTGGGCATCGGCCTCTTCGTCTTCATGCTCAGCCTCATCTTCTGCTGCTACCTTTTCAGGTAGGTGGAGAAGGTTTGAGAAAATTCAAATGTTTTGGCACTTTACTTTGGCCAGGCTACATTAAAATGAATGTGTAATAAAAGGCCCGATATGATGAGAGAGAGCACCACTCAAGCAGTAGATGAAGCCATTGTTGCCCAGCAAAGCTGCCCAACGTGCAGCATTTTTTTTTTCATTATAACCAATGAAATGGCTCGATTTTACGTGGAAAAGATTGCATTGGCTTGCTTTGAAGTGAATTAGCACCTTTCACCTCACTGTTTTGATCTGCAGCCACGCTCACGTTGCTCTCGTTGGTGTTGCTTGCAGCTGCAGCAGGCAGCTGTTGGCTGTGAAACCCACCAAAACCTTCCTGTCTGACACCAAATGTACACAAAAGCCAAAAATAGAGATGTGACAACAATCTGCTGACTGGCAAGATCAATTAAAAAAAAAAAAAAGCCGATTGCTATAGATGCTAATACAGCAAATGTTTAAAAACGTGGTACATTTTCAAATTTATTCTGTACGTTTTATCATTATTAATAATAATAATAATAATAATAATAAGTTCAAGAATCTTTATTATCTCCAAGGGACAATATGTTTCAGTCTATAGGCACACAAAACATCCATACTAGACATCGAGACATTAAAATAACCGTACAGAAATCATCACTGTTCGTTGAAATTTTCACATCTGTTTGTCCAACATCTGGGCAGCAGATACCTGCCTCCAGATGGGAACAACCTGAACTCACCATGGAGTGGGTGATCAGGATCTGCCAGAATCAGCCTGGCCTTAATAATAAAAATACATTCTATTTGAAGGCGCCTTTCATGTCACTCAAGGATGCCGTGCAATAAAATACAATATAAAATGCAGTAAAAACAAACTACATTTATTAATTTAGTAAAGATCCATTTAAGAACATGAGGGTTAAAGTAGAAAGTGATATTTGAAACCTTCTTAGAAAAAAAACAACATATCTTTAAGACCTAATATTTACCTAATTATTGAATTGTTCTCAAGGGGACCAGAAACATGATGAATGTGGAATTAAAAATAACTTTAACCATGTTATATTGTCATGATTGTTGCATGAGGAGAAAAAAGTTTTCAGTTGATTAAAATAGGACAATAGTTATTGGAACTTTATATTTGTTGTAATATCTTGTTTTGGGTTTTGGGCATTGGTTGCATGTTTCAGTCGGTAGTAGTTCAATCTTTTTTTAGTGGTTTAGAAGCTAAAATGTTTAGGACGACCCTCAGCCATGACAAGAAAACACCCCGAAGCTCAATCGGCCTCTGGAAGGTCACGTCGTGATCAGGTTGTGTTTTGGTAATGGCTGAAATATGAGGTCTGTCATTGATGACGTATTCTCTTTAGCCAAATTTAAGAGTTAGACCCAACCTCTTCCTCACCTTCTGACTTCATCTTGTCTTCCTGAGACAGATCAATGTTGTGGTCTAACCTTTTGTAGATACCACTAGATTTATCAAACCAGATTCAATTCAGTTCAGTTTATTTATACAGCGCCAAGTCGCAACTATAGTCGTCTCAGGGCACCGAACAGAAACATTCATATATAAAATAAGTTAACACTATTTATCTGAGGAGCTTTGAGTTTAACTCCATCACAGACTCTCATCTTGAGCAAGCATGAAAGCGACAGTGGAAAGGAAAAACTCCATGAGAAAGAAACCTTTAGCAGAACCAGACTCGGGACAAACTGTCATCTGCTTCGACTGGCTGGGTTTGAGAGGAATAGATACACAATGGCAGGCTGAGAATCACATGTTAAGATAGAAACAGTTTCAAATGAAAACTATTCAATTAAGAAAATGAGGTTTGTTTGTCCACCATTAAGCCTATGGCAACATAACAAGCAAACCCTAACTATAGGATTTATCTAAAAGGAAATTCTTAATTCCAGTCTTAAAACTGGACAATGTGTCAGCCTCACGGACAGAAACTGGAAGTTGGTTCCACAAGAGAGGAGGCTGATAACTGAAAGATCTTCATCCCATTCTGCTTTTGGAAACTCTAGGAACCTCAAGCAAGCCTGCAGTCTGAGAGCGAAGCGCTCTGTTAGGAAAATATGGAACAATAAGATCTCTAATATAAGATGGAGCTATGTTGTTGAGGGCTTTGTAGGTTCGAAGTAAGATTTTGAATTCCTTTCTGGATTTGACAGGGAGCCAATGGACCACTAACCACTAACTCTGGTACAAAGGCATTACTGCTCAAATGGGGCAACTTCAATCAATATAGACGTTGTCCTCTTTGTGAGACATATACTGTTATTACCTCCCTAATCCTATCACTTACTTCTATATAATGCCAGATATGGATGTTTAACACCCCTAAGTCTTTATACAAATACCTACTTCAGGGTGCTGAGAATCCTGAAATTATAACTTTAATGTGATAGTTCAGACCTTTTGAAATTTGGTTCTGTAGATCAGTTATGAACATAAAATATATCATTGTTATATATAACTCTTTGAACAACTTCAGTTTAGAGAGAAACAGTTTTATCCTGATCAGACTCATGAGATAACTGATTGTTTGAGCGATGACAAGGACAAGGTGGATTGCTGACATATTAAAGCAACTCTAATTTAAAAAAAAAAGTATTGATTCCTATACTTTTTTTTTTTTTTTTTTTACATCTCCCATCAATTTCACATTACACTTCTATTTAGTAGTTTATGGTCATTTGCAAGCAGAAGTTGCGAATGCAGCTAGCTGGAGAACTTCTGGTGCAGTCTTGCCAACTTCCAGCCCAAATACATTCTAATATTTCTACTTGAGCAGCTGTGTAATGTGCAAGTAATGACTGTGTAAAGCTTTTAAAAACGGCATTCGCACAAACTGCTGTGAAACGTTTTGATAGGAGTTGTTTGGAGGATGACAATGACAGCCCGCCTTGATCTTGGCTCAGCTCAGATTAGCCGTTAGCTAGTTCAAACTGGGCCAAGACTGGTCTCAGGCTGTGCTCTGGATGTTGGAGAAATCAACTGCAACTCACAGAAAGTCCGAGTTCTCGCTCAGAAAGCTGAAAATTCTCGATTAGCTTCAATCTCAAAACCTGTCGGCTGACTCACGCACGAGAAGTTGTGATAATGAACTTACAAAAAAAAAAAAAAAAAAATCAAAATACATGGGTCAGTTTGCATCGTAGTAATCCAGAAACACTCAAACATATCATCTTCCAACCACTATCAGTGAACACGCTGCTGCTTCAGTGTTTAAATGTACAGGATGCAGAGAAAAACATTATTGGCTTGCGTTGCTAATGTTAGTTAGCCTATACTCAGCACAACATGCAACAACATATTGGTTTTCTCATAAATAATACACGACACATGATAATAATCACTCTGACGTCATATCTGGATCCAGTTTCCAACCTGCAGCAGTTTTTCTCCTGAGGTTGTAAAATAAAGCTATTACCAGTAATTAATATAACAATTGCTCAATATTTCCACAAAATCCAGTTTCAAAAGGTTTAACATCTTTTTAAGTCTGTTTCTGCCCCTTTCAGTACAAATTATATGAGTCAGCTTTAAAGACGCCAAACGTCCTTAAGCTTCATTCAAGACAACGTTGAACTATTCTCCACCCCTTTTAACCAAATAGGTCAAAAGTTAAACTTGACGTCCAGTTTTATTTACCTGGACAGACTACAGTCAGCCTAAAATAGGTCATTTGTGTGAGTAAAGCTAGCGCCGTGATTGCTCAGTGATCAGTGCTGCAGGTTCGAGCGCAGGCTGCGTCAGAAAGGCCGTCCGACGTATTGACGAATTGTCAAATCCTTCATGCGAGACAAACAAGACGTGACTCAAGCTTCCACGCAGAATCAGGCACTTTCTTTAGAGAATGTGCACCCGCATTTCAAAATTAAACGTCAATTTAACTGGGAAACTACCGGAGGAAACTCCAAATCCACTATTTGGTATACATCCAGGACAACCTTTTTTTTTTAATTTTACGTTTGATTTCCTTCTTTGCAACAAGCAGCACCTTTAATCCTACCAGGTCACTTGACTAAACATGAAAGAGTAAGCGAGAAATGATCATGGGCCAACTCCGTGTAAAGGTCGAGGAACACCCACTCGTGTTCTGCAGAAACCTGCCGAGCTGAGAATCGCCGACCTCTGTTAGATCCAGCTGTGTTGACTTCAGCGTTGTTCTCTCTGTGTCCCCCTCAGGTTGAAACAACAAGGAACCAGGGAGCAGTTCAGCTACAACGAGGTAAGTCGTCTCACTGAGCGAATATGTAACACAAGCCCATGAGGGCTGTTATAAATACTGAGGTCTGTAGCATCACTGTAGCCTTCAGCTGGGAAGCTTAGCACCACCCTTTATAGGTGACCTTGAATCCATCTACGTGTCATTGTGAGAATTCAGCTCAGTCCACGCTGAACTCGTCTGAAGCTTTTCTGCTGCAGGAATTGTGGAACAATAACCAACACCTTTTACTTTCCTCGTGTTCAGGTGGTGCTGAAAGGTGCGAGCAAGAAACTGAGCCTTCTTGGAGTAAGTCCCTTTTCTCAAACAGCAGCAGTTTTACTTCTAGCGTGAATGTTTACTAAGCACGGTGATACCATAGAGATCCTGTTTAGATTTATTCTTCTTCTTCCAACTTCCAGTTACTTGAAACGAATCTGTATGTTTTCCAGCATCTTTCTCGTTCCACAATTTTTGTGCTATTTCAACAAATCATAAATCAAAACGTTCAGCTCTTCCAGGACAATGCTCCTATGACTTGTGGTATTGGTGCAACTTTAGCTTTTTGAAATATTTAGCCTTTTCTCTTTTTTTTTTTTTTCACACAGAAAATAAATTGAGCTCATTTTACATCCTTCAAACCTTTAGATTTGTTTACAACCTTGCACTGCTCCTTTCACATTTTGTTCTGCTTCAGCTTCTTTCAGCTTCCTTGTGCAAAGTTTTAAAAAATTTCAACTACTTTCAGCTAAGTTCAGCTGTTTTTCAGCTGTTTTGTGCTCCTTTCAGTTCCTTTCTGCTAACTACAGCATTTTTGTGTTTCTTCTAACTTCTTTCTGCTAATTTCAGCTTGTTACGCTCCTTTCAGTTTATTTCTGCAAATTTCAACTATTTCTGCTATTTCAGCTACTTTTCAGCTGTTTTTATGCTAATTTGAACTTTTTCAGCTAATTCCACATTTTTACACTCCATTAAACTTTTTCTGCCTAATTTAGTAAAATTTTGCTCTCTCCATTTCATTCTGGTAAAATAAGCTTCTTTCTGAGTTTTTAGCTACTATTTAGCTGTTTTTTTTTTGCAAACGTCTGCCCTTTTTCAGATCATTTCCATCTTTTGTGCTCATTTTTGCTTCTTTCAGCCTAATTATGCACAATTGTGCCCTCTCCAGTTTCTTCTGGCAATTTAAGCTTCTTTCTGCTATTTTAGCAACTGTTCGGCTAGGTTTTTTTTTTTTTTTTTACTTTTTTTTCTGCTTTTTTCAGGTAATTTCCACTTTTTTGTGCTCATTTCTGCTTCTTTCAGCCTAATTTGGCACAATTACGCTCTCTCCACTTTCTTGTAATTTAAGCTTTTTATGCTGTTTTAGCTACTATTCTGCTTTTTTTTTCTCTCTCCAAATTTCTGCCTTTTTCAGATTTTATTCTACTTTTTTGTACTAATTTCTGCTTCTGTTAGCCTAATTGTGCCCTCTTCACTTTCTTCTGGTAATTTAAGCTTCTTTGTGCTATTTTAGCTACTGTTCAGCAGTTTTTTGTTGTTTGTTTTTTCAAATTTCTACTTTTTTCAGATAATTTCCACTTTTTCCCACTCATTTCTGCCTCTTTCAGCCTAATTGGGCACAATTGTGCTATCTCTGCTTCCTTCTGGTAATTTAAGCTTCTTTCTGCCTTTTCAGCTACTTTTCAGCTATTTATTAGCTAATTTCAGCTTCTTCTTTTTTATTTTTTTAGCTTTTTTACAATTTTTTTGTGCTCATTTCTGCTCATTTAAACCAAGTTCAGCAAATATGTGTTCTTTCTGCTTTCGTCTGCTAACTTAGGCTTGTTCTTCCATTTCAGCTACATTTAGCATGTTTTTTTTTCTTTACCGAAATTCAGTTGTTTTTCAGCAAGTTCTTCAGCAATAAGCATTCACACTGCATTTTCACAGGAACAATTTCTCTAGTTGAACGTGACTCAGTGTTTCCACATTAGCTGGGGTGATGCACAGTGAGGCAGGAGGATTTGTTCACTTGGTTAACTCAATCAGGATGTCATTAGTGCTGCATATGCGAGGGTGGAGATGATGTGCACATTGAGAAAAATAAATCCCACACTTGGATTACCTGCACTGACATCCATGAGTTAAGATAAGTCAAAATACAGTGTATATTTTTATGTTTCTTTACGTTTTGTGCCCGTGGTTACACTTGGATCATCTTATGTTGAGGAATAAGTTAGCTGGTAGCTGTGAATCACTCAGCTGGTGACAAACCAACATTTAACTCTGTAAATTGGCTGAGTTAGCATCATTTGTGTTCTGTAGCAGTCATTTTGAATCAGGTTGACTCTAAAGGTTAATCAGTTGTAGACGTACGTCTAATGATTACTTTTTGGGAGTTTCATTAAAATCTGTCAGTTGGTTGACCAGATGTTTTACTAACACACACAGACAGGTAAAAATGTTGATTTTCACGTAAAGCGAAGAGAGATTATAACTTTTTATGTTCGTTTTTTTGGTAAAATTTACTGGATATTTTGGTTTTAATTTGGTAGAATGGTCTTGTTGCTTAGAGACACGGAGCAGGCACAGTTTGGGGAAAAAAATAGTCTTTTTGTGAATTTGAGTTGAATGAAATTCGGCTGCACTTTGGTGAGATTTGGTCAAATTTCCCAAAAGTAAAAACTTCTGTGGAGTTTTTTTTTTTTTTTTTTCCTGCAAATCGGTGTCTAATTTTTATTTCTTTTTTTCTGGAAATGCAACAGAAACATCAAAATAAACAATGAAGTAAAAAAAAAAAAATCATTAAACAATAAAATGAAAAACGGTGTACGATTATCATAGCTATATTATAATTTTATTGTGTTTATTATTTGTACTGTATTACCAAGCTGGTAAATATTTTCTAACAAACAAACAAACATTTATTTACTGTAATATTACATCACATTCATTCAAATTTTACATTTTGCAACATCCGCAAAACTTTTCAACAAAATGCAATGAAATATGAAATAAAATAGAAATGTTCTTTTGTTTAAAAGTCTGCATGAGGTAGAACTGTTCATATAAAGTATAATTGATTTCAACCTCTTGAATAAATGTGGATTTGAACATCAGAGTAAAGATAAATTAACTGATTTGTGTTTTCTGCTTTGTGTTCGTGCAGCAAACCTGCGCCGTGTGTCTGGAAGAATTCAGGACTCGAGATGAGCTGGGCGTGTGTCCGTGCTCACACGCATTTCACAAGAAGTAAGTGCAAAACACGGAGCAACAAAAGGTTTAACGCAGTGCTTTGCAAACTTTTTGATACTCTGGTCAAAACTGTCAAGTTGAAAGTATCCCAAAAATTAGAATTTTAGCTTAAAAAATATTTTTTTTTAATGCACAATGTTTCAGTGGGTGATAGTACAATAAATATGGCAGAAAAGAAGTATAAAATCATTGCTCCAAAACTAAAAATCCTCAAAATAAATGACACCTTCAAAAAAAAACAGTTCATGTGCCTTGATTTGTTGAGTTTATAGTCGTCTCCATGTTTGCAAATTTAATTTTAGTTGATTTTCGAGATTTTTTTTTTTTTTTACTTTTCTTAAAAATAATTGTCTTGAACACAGTTGTGTGACCTGGTGGTAGATCCTTGACGTGAAAACGTAGTTGGCTCACTGTTCAAACCCTTCCAAAGAGAAGATTTTGTTTTTTAAATCTCATGGACAAGGTTTGTGCTCCTTTACTTTGAAACTGCAAAAACGAAAAGAAATACATTATTGTTGCACAGGAGATCTCCTTTTATTTTAAATGCTTCAGAACAGCTGCTGGTCGGAAAGGCTTTTTTACTCTTGAAGCTTCACTTCACTGAGATTAGTCATAAAAGGGGAATGCAGGACGACTGCTTATCTTTGAGTACCTTTGAAAAGTCAAATAATTAAGCTTTTTTTATTTATTTTTCCCCCCAAAACACATCACCCTCTCTAAACACTTGATTGAAAATGTCAAAGTGTTGAGGAGAGATAAGACAGAGGGCAAGAGAATAACTGCTGCCTAAAGGTGGGGAATACCAAAAAGATAAAGGAATAAAGACCTAAAATACAACAAATAGTACTGTTATACTGACAAATGTTGCTCATGTTCTTATTTACTAAAAATCTTGGTCGTAAAGGTGAGCCCCACTTTCAGTTTTGCAACTTCAAGCAATGGTGGGATGGTGTTATCTCCCCTTCTTACGTGAAGAACGGTCCAGAGCGTTCAGAGATACAGACAGAATAAAGTCATGCTGCTTTGATTAGCATTTAGCTCTGTGACGAACGCGTGGAACCAGCCGTTATCTCGGCTGATACTGCAGTCGTTTCACTCAGCAGGGGTCTGTGGACCCTTCGCAGGGAGTCTCGGCCGGTTAAAGTCCAACCGAAGCTCCAAACCCCAGTACCTGCGTCAGTCGGTGATTAGTGAGTTCATGTGTTTAAAGTCTGGCTGTGAGAGGTTAGATGTAGTAAGAAAAATATAAAAAATACTTCTTCCTCCACCTCATCCTTCATGGGTGCCAGTATTGTTGTGTACTCACATATTTCTGTGTATTTATCTGCAGCTTTGTGATCAAAAGAGCCATTACTACCATTCGCCTATTAAACAAAATGTGTTCTGAGCTGCAAAACCTGCCACAGCTGTGAATATCAACTGGTGGCTCATGGGCCACTTTGAGTTTGTATGAAGGATTTTTTTTTTTTCGGTCAGTGGACGTGACGTTTTTTTTTTCCCTTTTGGCTACTCCTTTCCTCAGGGGTCACCGCAGCAAACTAACTCGCATGAAGACTTAGCAATCGTTTTTACAATGGATGCCCTTCCTGATGCAACCAGACCGCTGAGCAACCACAGCCCTCTGTGTGGAGCAGAGAGCTGCCATCTAGGGCAATGGTTTATCTAACTGGGGTCCCCGTACCACCGACAGGCCACAAGCCAGTGCTTGAGGGGGGTCTGCCAAAAAAACTTTTTTTTTTTTTTTACAAGTACGTAGATGTTTAACAACCCATTAAAATACACCAAAAATGCAGGAAATCCCATCTGCTTTATTCAAAATGTTCAGGGGGAGGACCCCCAGATCCCCCAACCCCCACGCCTGGTATTTCAGTTGTGGCATCAATCAGTTTACAAATGAAGTCCTGTTACTTGGTATGACTACTGCCGTTATGATTCTATTCAGTTTTATTTAAAGAGTTTTCTGTAAGGATTTGTTAAAAAGTAAAAAAAAAAAAAAAAGGCAATACATTTATGTTCATTATGTGACTTGGTAAAGTTTTAGGGAGTGGTGGCGCAGAGGTTAGAGAAGGTGGGCCTGTGATCAGAAGGTGTCAAGGTTCAACTCCCCAGACCGAAAACGTCAAAATGTAGGTGGAAAAAGTGAAACACCCACACCTGCCTCCACCCTCATTTGCCCTACTCTGGGCCCTTGAGCAAGGCCCTTAACCCCCACCGTCTGCTCCCCCGGGCACCCATAGATAGCAGCTCTCTGCTCCACAGAGGGATGTGGTAGCTCCATGGTCTGTGGTTGTGTCAGGAAGGGCATTTGGTGTAAAAACAATCAGCAAGTCTTTGTGCGACTAACACTGTGGTGACCCCTGAACAACTGAGCAGCCGAAAGAAAAAAAAAGTGCACAGATAAAGTTTTAAAGTGGTTTTTGATGCTGTTAATTTTCTCAAAACTGTAAATTTTGGAAGCTGAAATTAAAAAATTTTGTCAATTGTGTCTTAAATGAAAAATACCCCAGGTTCAAAAATATAAAAATTGTATTAACACTATTAAAGAACAGGTCTTAAGTTTTTATGTTGCACAAATATTTCCACTGCATTAAAGAGACAAATTGAAGATAATTATTTAATAAACATGAGGGTTATGAGGGGGTCCCTGAACCCAAAAAGTTTAAGAACCCCTGATCTAGGGAACCTGGTGGAGTAGATGGTGGGGGTTAAGGGCCTTGCTGAAGGGCCCAGAGTGGGGCAAATGAGGGCGGAGGCAGGTGTGGGTGCTTCACTTTTAACACCCACATTTTGACGTTTTCGGTCTGGGGAGTCGAACCGGTGACCTTCCGATCACAGGCCCACCTTCTCTAACCTCTGTGCCACCACGCCAATGGACGTAACTTAATAAAACAAAAATTATATAAAACATTTTACATTTATTGATTTTTTTACATTTTTGGATATAAGACTACATTAATGTAAAAAAAAGGGAAAGAATTAAAGTTTAAACCTTGAACTCCGGGTTTATGCATGTCCTTTTATTTTTTGAAAAAAAAAAAAAAAAAACAATTGCGTAACAAAGCATAAATTTAAAGTATGTACAAAAATTTGCCGATTTTGCTGGATGTTTAATTGCGATCATTTGAACATTTGCAGAAAAACTGCTCAAATTCGCCGTTTCTCTTTTCTGTTGGTATAAAAACCGACCAATTTAAATTCCACTTTATTTTTGGTCAAAGCCGACAAGGAGCGCCAGACCAGGAACCAAAGAGGCGCACGTAGCTCCAGAGCCACAGGTTTCAGACCCCTGATCAAGGGTCCAGGTTCGGTTTAGAAGTCAGGGTTAGGCATCGGGAGGTCAAAATGAGAAGTTAGTGGGCAGAACGTGGGATTTGTTAAACATTAACCGATTCTTAAACTTCAAAGGTACTAAAAATAATATACACGTAAATTAAATCAGTGTTGGGGCGTCTACTGAGGCAAGCATGAAGGCTTCTTTGTATGGGTGTTACCAACCACAAGAGCCAAGAAGACACCATCACTAATTACAGGGTATGCTTATGGCAAAGAAGATCTTAGCAAATCATTTTTAAACTTGAATATTTTGAAGATCATCTTGAGACCCTCCAGTTAAAATCTAAAACATGGTGTAGTAGTAGAGTCATCCTTACGTCCCCATCTTGAATTGGGTTGCACCAAAAAGTAATCGATGTACACCTAATAATTATTTCCAGAGTTGAAGTTTATCTAGTGATTTATATTTTGCCAACAGCTCAAACAAACATGGGTAAGAATTAGGGGTGCACCGATAAATCGTCGGCCGATTTATCGCCCCCCGATTTCCTTAATTTCAGGAAATCGGCCAATACTTGCATGAGAAACCGATTTTACCCATTTTTCTTTTTTTTTTGTTTTAACAACAATTGTCTGAACTTCATTTATATTTCAGAGCACTACCTCATGGCCAGTTAAAACAAGTTTGTTTTGTTTCTAGGATATTGTTCAAGGGTATGTTTTTCAATAAAAGATTGGAAAATTGAAGGTGCATTGTGACCTTAGAACACCTGACAGTGTCGCTTAGAAAACAAAATTGGTATTGGCCAAAATCGGAATCGGCAGGTCAGTTTTTAGAAATCTGTGATCGGCCAAAAACTAGCACCCCCAGTAAGAACATTATGACTTTTAGGTAACCACTTTTTATAAGTCTGTCGATGGCGGCATGTATCATGGTATAATCTCCATCCGTCCATAAACTTTGTCATCTTGTTCAGAACTTCTGATTCACTCAACATAATTTAATGAAACTTCATACACTTATGCATCATAACTAGGCATAGTGTACATACACTTGTCACCCCCCCCACACACACACACACACACACACACCCAAGTTTTAAGGTCAAAGTCAAACGTTATTAAAGGACTTTGCTTGTATAATGTGCCGTACTCGTCTACCAATACATTCCTTTCTCACTTCTCCTGGGGCAGCTGTGGCTAAGTGGTTAGAGCAGTTGTTCTCTAATGCGAGAGTTGGTTCGATTCCACCAGCAGTCACATGCTGAAGTGTCCCTGGGATAGACACTGAAGCTTCATTGCCTCCGATGCATGTCCCATCGGTGTACGACTGTAAAAGCACTGAATATTCTTTGTATGGATAAGAGTGCTGTGTGAATGGGTACTGTACTTTTGCTATACAAGTCGCACCTTTTTGCATAAATTTGCATGACTTATACAGCGAAGCGACTTATTTATGTCCCCCCCCCCCCCCCCCACTATTTTATAACCCAATTTTCCCCCGAGATCTGACAATTTCATTCATTCAGGAAAATATTGAACACTACCATTTTCAGCCACTAGAGGGCAGTCGACTAACGTGGCAAGCCAAGCATTTCATTAATAGGTAAAAGTAGCTATTAATGAGACACTCTGCTTGCCATACCAGGCCACCTTCGTCTCGCTCCGGAACTCCTGGAGCAAACGTCAAATCAGCTGCATTTCACCGTGCCAAGTGCATCTATTAAGGAAACGTTCAAGTGAGACACATCTTTGCCATAATGTCGAAATAATTATTTTTAAGCGTTAATCTTGTTAAAGTCCTCCCATGCACGCTCCTGCGGCCGCCATTTGGCAGCCAATCGATATTTGTCACATCGGCCCACGTTTCTGGCTGGCTAGCAGTAACGCATAATAAATGCGACTTATACGGCAAAGCAACGTTTTTTTTTCCCCATTTTATTAGACATATTTGGACCAATGAGACTTATACGGCAGTGCAAAGTGTATAGCGGCAAGTACGGTAAATGAGGGTACAGATTGTAGTGTAAAGTGCTTTGAGTATTTTGGTAAGATAGAAAGGTGCTATACAAGTACAGTCCATTTACCATTCTCCTGTCTTCATCCCTTCAGGTGCCTGCTCAAGTGGCTGGAGATCCGCAGTGTGTGCCCCATGTGTAACAAACCCATCCTGCGGCTCCACCCCGATGCCCCCCAGGGTGCCGAGGGGCCCATGGATCCAGAGGAGGTGTGAGAGATAGAGCGCTAGACTCCCCCCCTTCCAGAAAAACACACACATTAAACCACACTAAAGATGATTGACAGCCGTCATCTCTAAAGGTAATACTGATAACGATCCCAAGTGGCAGCGACCTTCGAGCAATATGCCTCAGTGGGGAATTGGATTTTGATAGTGCCAACGAGCTCGGTCCGATCAGTCAAGAGAGCGATAGATGTCGAATGAGTAGAATGAGTTTCATACAGATGTTAGTTCTACTTCCATGTTGCACTGTTCACCCAAAAGATAAAAAATGGCAGGAAAGGGAGCCACATTAGAGCTGGACATCATTGCCACAGTCACTGGACGAGTAGAGCTGCACTGCCAAAGGCACGGAGCAGAACATTACAGGATCAGCAAGGATACCTCTAATATCTCAGGGGTGTTACCAACGCAGCCAGCACAAACCCATGTTATAACCCTATAACCCAGTGCCACACATGCATCTTCAATACTGCCAATGTAGACGAAACACCCTGGCAGCCGGAGTTGGCCACAGCTACTGGCTAAAAACAAAGAACCAGCTACAATCAACCATGATGATTTGAGTAGAAAATGTTGTTACAGATTGTGTCCACGGCCCCATTACCCTTAAAAAAAAAAGACTAATAGAAAACTAGTCTTGCTTGTATGTTTTGTGTGTATAGGTCTCCCTATATGATGTTATTTTGTACTTCAAATAAAGTGTCATGTAATGTATTGTAGTGGTATTGCATTCTTAACAAAAAAACAAAAAAAAAACATCCAGAATATTCATGTTTTTTTTCTTTACTTTTGAGTTTTTTTTTTAATATACAAAATGCAAGTTGATGAAATGTTAACCAGCTGATTGTTTTTAACATTTAGAACTCCCTTTACAAAGATCTGTTGTGTCATATTAAAAAAAACAATGTAAATACAAGCTGAGATGTTGGTCTTTTTATGGACGAGCGTTTTTGTGAGCAGTCTGAATCCGGTCGCTTTTTTAATTTTCGGCCTCTTTGCCTTTACTTTCCACAAACTCCAAAGCCTTTTCCTTGACGGTCTGGATGCTCTGAGGGGTGCCGTGTTTCTTCTCGTACTCCAGGTAGCGCTTGAAGAAAAACTTGATCTTCTTCACAGAAACGCTCAGGTTGATCACGCGGTCGAACAGAGCCCTGGAAGACACAAACCCTACGGTGAATGAAAGGAGTCGGTTGAACGTCAGAGTGGGAGGGAGGAGCTTCTCCTCACCTGACTTCCGTCTGGGATCCGTGTTTGATCGTGAGGTCGATGAAAACGGACCACAGGTCTGTGCGCTTGGGGTAGCTCGTCAGGACTTTGTCCATCATGTTGCGCCCTTTCTCGGCGTCGCCGTACCGGAACTCCATCTGAGCGAACTTGGCGATCATGTCCACGCCTGATGGGATCGGCGACAACGCAGGAAGTATAAAACACGAGGCGGTAGACAAAATAAACCACAAATAGAATCAACAACTAATGAGCAAATCTTTAAGAAAACCTGAAATTAAGATTTTTAATGAAACTTTGCGTTTGACGCGAGGTAAAGCCTAATAAAGTTAAATGTTCTGATGTTCTTGTAAATTATTGTGTGAAAGCTCATGACACATTCACACTATTGTGATCCATTTTTCTTCCGTACGTTTTTCAGCGTCTTCCTCGTTCCACAATTTTTATGCTATTTCAAGTCATAAATCAAAACGTTCAGCTCGTTCCAGACAAGGGTGCTATGACTTTTGGTGCAGCTTTAGCTTTTAGAAACATTTAGCCTTTTCTGCCACTTTTTTTCCTCATAGAAAATTAATTGATCTCATTTTACATCCTTCAAATCTTTAGATCCGTTTACAACGTTTTATTGCTCTTTTCACATTTTGTTCTGCTTCAGCTTCTTTCAGCTTCTTGGTGCAAATATCAAAATTTTTTCAGCTGTTTTGTGCTCCTTTCAGATTCTTTCTGCTGACTACAACATTTTTGTGCTTCTTGTAACTTATTTCTGCTAATTTCAGCTTATTATGCTCCTTTCAGCTTATTTATGCAAGTTTTAGTTTTTCTGCCATTTCAGCTACTATTTAGCCGTTTTATGCTAATTTTAGCTTTTTCGGCTATTCCACATTTTTTGCAATCATTTAAACTTTTTCAGCCTAATTCAGCAAAAAATGTGCTCTCTCCACTTTAAGATTTCAGTGTTGTTAAGCTACTTTTCAGTGGTTTGTTTTGTTGTTAATTTAAGCTTTTTTCAGATAATTTCCTCTTGTGCCCTTTTCTACTTCTTTCAGCTTAATTGGGCAAACACGTGTTCTTTCTATTTTCTTCTGCTAATTGGAGCTTGTTCTACCTTTTCAGCTAGCTTGTTAACATTTTTAGCTAATTTCAGCTGTTTTCAGATAAATTCAAGTTTTTCCTACTAATGCTTATGCTCCTTTCAGAGCATTTCTGCTAGTTTCAGTTATTTCAGCTACAATTTCATTTTGCTCATTTTAGCTTTTTGAGCCAATTCCACATTTTTTGCATTAACTTTAATTTTTCCTACTTAATTCAGTGAAAATGTGCTCTCTCCACTTACTTCTGGTAATTTAGCTTCTTTCTGCTTCTATAGCTACTTTTTAGCAGCTTTATTTTTTATTTTTTGTTAATTTCAGCTTATTTCAGATAATTTTAACTTTTTGTTCTAATTTCTACTTCTTTCTGCCTAACTGGACAAACGTGTTCTTTCAACTTTTCAGCTACCAGTACTTTTTAAAGCATTTTTAGCTAGTTTCAGCTGTTTTCAGATAAATTCCAGGTTTTTTTTGTGGTAACTGCTACTTTCAGCCTAATTAACTTCTTTCTACCCATTTCAGCTTATGCTATTTTTAGTTTATTTCTATTAGTTTGTTATTTCAGCTACTATTTAGTTTTTATGCTATTTTTTTTAGCCTTTTCAGCTAATTCCACTTTTTGTTGTTGTTACTAATTTCATATTTTTCCTATCCCTTATGGTAATTTAAGCTTTTTTTTCTACCTTTTGAGCCATTTTATGCTAATTTCAGCCTTTTTTAAGCTAATTTCATCATTTCTGCTTATTTAAACCTAATTCAGCAAATATGTAATCTTTTGGTTTCTTCTGCTCATTTCGGCTTGTTCTTTATTTTCAGCCGTTTTCCAGCAAGTTCTTCAGCAATAAGCATTCACACTGCATTTACACAGGAAATGCAATTTCTTTAGTTCACATTGTCCTATCTTTATTATTAAAACAAGATAAAAGTTGTGTCTTGAACACGTTAATAAATGTGCCGACATCTCCAAGTCATAGTTCAGGATTTTTTCCATTCCGTTTACATTCTACTCTACGTTTATTTGATTTCTTGTTGGTCAAAGTCAAGACTTTAGGTAACATGTTCCACACTGGTATTTAAAAACATATTATGGTGCCACAATGGGTTGGTTAGAATCCTGTCCACCCAGGTTATAGAGTTCAACTGGCCATCTTACTTTCTTTAGAGGGGAGACTCCTCAGCGCCCTCTGCAGGAGGCTGCTGGCAGCATCACCCTGACCCTGCTGGAGCAGGAAGGTCCCGTAACTCAACCACACCGCTTTGTCCTCACGGAAACGCTTCACCATCGTCTTGTACAGCCCCTCTGCCTCCTGCAAACAAAACCAGGAAAAATGTAGAGGTTCAAGGCTTTACGTTACAGCGGATCAAAGAGAAGCTCCGGTGAAGACTGCAGCGAACCTTGATTTTGCTGGAGTTGGTGTAGATGTCAGCCAGCTGCTGGTACACCGGCCTCGGCTCGCAGAACTGCAGCGCTCGCTCAAACACTTTCTTCAGACTTTCCTCTGTGCCATACAGGTTCTCCAGGTTCAGCAGGGCCACCCACACGTTCAGCTTCTCCTGCTCCTCTCTGCACCATGGATTAGGATTTCACACATAAGGACCAAATAGTTCACACTAATAGGGCGAGCTGATTTCAAGCAGTTTAGAAAAACATTTAAAGAGGTTTGATGAGCTGAAACCAGACACCTGAAGGAGATGGTTTTGAGGGCCCTCTCAGCCACAGCTCGGGCCTGCTCGATCTGTGTGGCCTGCAGGTGATGAGCCATGTACTGGAGCCACAGCAGAGAGCTGTTGGGGGAGGCTAAAAGCAGCCGATCGAAGGTGGAGGCATCCTGCGGCCGCAGGTTTGGATCCATCAGCTCGTTTTCCCGCTGAAGCAGGGCCTTTTCTGCCGACTTCTTCTCCTGCTGCAGCTCGTGGTGAGACTTCTTCTGGGGCTGGTGACAGAAAGACGAGTGGTGAGGCAGACCCAGACCAGCCTGGACGGTTTTCACACCAGAGGAGATAAAACGTCTGACTACATGAAGAACTGCAGGACTGGCATTCCTTGAAGGAATGCATAGACGCCATCTTTAACGTTTCAGGTTTAAAGGTACAACCAAACATTGATTCCTGCAAAGGTCATTTTAAAACGAGATCATTTGCTAACAAACATGCGTCACAAGTGCAAACTCCTGTCCACCGTGTTCCTTCAGCTGTTTTGTGCTCCTTTCAGGTACTTTCTACGAACTACAACATTTTTGTGCTTCTTCTAAATTCTTTCTGCTAATTTCAGCTTGTTATGCTCATTTCATCTTATTTCTGCAATTTTCAGCTATTTCGGCTACTATTTAGCGGTTTTAGGCAAATTTGAGCTTTTTCAGCTAATTGTACATTTTTGCTCTCATTTAAACTTTTGTCAGCATTATTCAGCAAAACTGCTCTCTGCACTTCCATCTGGTAATTTAAGCTTTTTTCTGCTATTTTAGCTACTGTTCAGCTGTTTTTTTTTGTTGTTTTTTTGCCAATTTCTACTTTATTCCCACTAATTTACTAACTTTTATGCTCATTGCTGCTTCTTTAAGCCTAATTGGGAACAAATGTGCTCTGTCCACTTCCTTCTAGTAATTTAAGCTTCTTTCTGCTTTTTTTAGCTACTGTTCAGTAGTTTATTTTTTGCAAATTTCTGCTGAAAATTTCCACTTTTTGTGCTCATTTTTGCTTATTTCAGCATAATTGTACTCTATCCATTTGCTTCTGCTAATTTAAGCTTATTTCTACTTTTTTTAGCTACTGTTCAGCAAGTTCTGTTAATTTCTTTTTTGTATATATAATGTTCACTTTTTTGTGCTCATTTCTGCTTATTTAGACCAAATTAATTTATTATGTGTTCTTTCTGATTTATGCTGCTAACTTAGGCTTGCTCTTCCATTTCAGCTACATTTCAGCAAGTTTTTAGCTAATTTCAGCTGTTTTTCAGCAGGTTCTTCTAGGCATTCACGCTGCATTTACACAGGAAATGCAATTCCTCTGGTTATATTTGCCGTCTCACCTTAGCCTTCTCATCTTGATCTTCTCCATCGCTGGACTCCTCCTCCTTTTCAGCAGAGGCGGGCTTCAGGGAGCTCAGCCCCACCTCCCAGGAGAAACCTGCAGCCACCTGCAGCCTGGACGGGCCTGCTGAGCCGGCAGTCACCTGCACAGACACGAAAACTCACTGCTCCAGCTGTGGATTTTAACTTCTATTCATATTTAAACAGCAGCTACTGAGATGTAGCGTACTTTAGCAGGTTTCTTTTCAGCGTCTTCATCGTCGTCCTCTCTGAAGTACACTTCCACTCCACTGTCATCACCGTCACTCTTTCGTTTCTTCTTCTTCTTTTTGGGGATCTTGGATTCTGCTTGATCCTGCTAAATTAATAAAGAGTAAAAACTATTCTTAGGCTCCGATTTAACCAGCACACGCGCTCAAAACCAAATTTTAGTAAAAGACTATTTACAGAAATGACATATTTGATTATTTTTTGTGCTGTTGGGCGTTTTTAAAAAGCCCGAACAGGAACTCGTTAACTCGAAGCTGCTCCGTCACCTGTTCGCTCGCAGACGGAGCACGTCTTTTCTGCTTTTTCTTCTCGTTTTCGCTCAGACGCAGCGGCAGGTTGAGAGACTCGGGAAAGATGTCCGACCTGCCCGTGTCCTCCGGGAGCAGAGAGAGGTCCACTAACTCGGCTTCTCTGTCAACACTGAGAAGAGAAGATCTGATGACGCCTGAAGCCAAGGTCAAACTGTCCTTCAACCGATACAACGTCCTGGATTCATTCTGGAGACCTTCTCGACGACAAAAGCGGTTTCCTGTTTTGCTTAACATCACCTGTCTGAGTCTGTTAGCTAAATATTTTATGACCCACTGGACAGAATTTAATGAAACATCCAGTAAGTAACCACTGGATGTCCATCTACAACTGATTAACGTTTGGAGCCAACCCAATTCAAGATGGCTGCCAAAGACAAGTAATCCTAAAAAATAAAAAAATGGTTATTACTTACGTCAATATTACACATATCGATCTTAAAGTTGGTGTGGTAGTAGCCGAGACTGATCCCCAACATACAATTCAAGCCAATCCAATTGCATATATGTCTTTAAAATTTTGCCATTAACTATCTATATGCAGTCAGTTCTAGCCGTCTGTTAGCAAAATATTTCATGAACCGTTGGACAAATTAGAATGAAACTTTTGGGGAATAATTTTTGGATTCACCTCTACAAATGTTTAACTTTTGGAGCTGATCAAATTAAAGACGGCCTGAAAACCAATTAATCTTAGAGAACACAAAAACGCCAACTATTGGGTCAATTTTTCAGATACTGTTCTAAAACTCGTGTAGTAGTACCAAAGAACCGTTCTCAACACAAACCAAGTGGTAATTATTGAGCAAGGTCTTTGCTTAAAACTTGCAGGGCTATTCAACTGGCGGCCCGGGGGCAAAATCAGGCCCACGGATGAACTCCGTTCGGCCCGCCAACAGCTTCATTTTAAATAAAAACAAATTTTAAATCATAAAAACAAACTTACTTCACTAATAACTGATGGACGTCCAGCCCTGAGCTCTTTCAGTAACTGTGGCCCCCTGAGCAATTTAGTTGAATATCCCTGCTCTAGAGGCAACCCTGTTTTGTTAGCAAAATATCTCATGAACATAGATTTGGTTAAACTTTTAAAAAGTGATTATTTGTTTTTATTTACCATTCTGCTGCAGGATTTTGTCCATATGACTTTTAATATGCAGAATATTTTTCCTCTTTAATGTTAAACACTTCGCCCTTTAACGGAAACGTTCCGACTCGAGTCTCACGCAGGTGGGCGGAGCTTGAGGTTTTGAGGGCAATCTTGGCGAAGTCTAATTGTTCTGTTTGATTCTAAGCCTGAGCTGAAACGAAGATGTTTTACCTGAGGATTTTAGCGGTGAGGAGCATGTTGACAGGCAGGTGCTTGGAGAGATCCTTGTGGCTCTTGATAAAGTATTTAGTCGAGTGTTTGAACTGAACTCGTCCAATGATGCTTCTTGACAGCCTGGAGAGAGAGCACACCACAGAGCCTTCTCATATTTCTGGTTAGTTCATCAGTCCACGGGTGGCTGGACTTCTCAGTTACCTGAAGAAGACCCCGTGCTCCCCCACGCTCTTCACGTAGCCTCGGATGAGCTGGCCCACCTGCAGCTGGTCTACAGACAACACTTCCGGGTCTTTCTCGGGTTTGGTTTGTTGCGGCGACAGCCTGAAGGAGCACGTCGCAATAAGCTGAGTATTCTTTAAAATTCAACGAGACTAAAACTCTTCTTACCTTGATGGACGCAGAGATAACTGCCACTTTTCATTTTTACAATCCAACAGGTAACACCTAAGAGTAGAAGCCAACCTTTAATCCAGTTTCTCTTTGATGGAAAATCATCCAGATTTCAAACATTCAGAAGGACTGAAGTCAACAAAACAGGTTTTTCATGAAAATCGCAACTAGAGAAACTGCATTTCCTGCAAACATGCAGTGAATGCTTACGGCAAAAGAACTTGCTGAAAAACAGCTGAAATGGACGAACTAGCCTAAATGAGCAGAAGAAAGCAAAAAAAAACAAATAGCTAAATTAGGTTGAAATAATCAAAAATCAGCACAAACTTAGGAAATCATTAACAAAAAAAAGCTTAAATTAGCAAAAAAAAAAAAAAAAAACTCAGCTGAAAAGTAGCTGAAAAGGCACAAAGAAGCATACCCTACCAGAAGGAAGTGGAAAGAGCTGAAATGAGCTGAAAGAATATGAAATTAGTGGCAAAAGCTCAAAATTGCAACAAAAAAAAAAGCTACACAGTAGCTGAAAGAGCAGAGAAAGCTAAAACTAGCAGAAATAAGCTGAAATTAGCAGGAATAATTTAATTAGGGTGAAAGTAGTAAGACGTTGGCACAAAAAAACAAATTTATCTGAAAACAGCTAAAGTTAGCTAAAAATGTTAAAAAGGTAACTGAAAATGTAGAACAAGCTTAAATTAGCAGATGAAAGCAGAAAGAACATGTTTGCCCAATTAGGCTGAAAGAAGAAGAAATGAGCACAAAAAAGTTATAATTATATGAAAAAAGCTGAAATAAGCACAAAAAAACAGCTGAAAGAAGTTAAAATTACCAGAAGGAAGTGGGGAGCGCACATTTTTGCTGAATTCGGGTGAAAAAGTTTAAATGTACAAAAATGGAATAAGCTGAAAAAGCTAAAATTAGCATAAAAACAGCTAAATAGTAGCTGAAATATCAGAAAAAACTGCAACTTGCATAAATAAGCTGAAAGGATCACAACAAGCTGAAATTAGCAGGAAGAAGTTAGAAGAAGCACAAAAATGTTGTAGTTAGCAGAAATAATCTGAAAGGAGCATAAAGCAGCTACAAAGGCAGCTGAAATTAGCTGAAAGTAGCTGAAAAAGTTTAAATTTGCACAAGGAAGCTGAAAGAAGCTGAACTAGAACAAAATGTGAAAGGAGCAGTAAAAAGTTGTAAACAGATCTAAAGATGTGAAGGTTGTAAAATGAGCTCCATTAAAATCAATGGCAGAAAAGGCTAAATATTTCAAAAAGCTAAAGTTGCACCAATACCAAAAGTCTTAGCAGGATTGTCCTGAATGAGCTGAACGTTTTGATATGATTTGTTGAAATAGCGCAAAAATTGTGGAATGAGAAACATGTCGAAAAACATATGGAAGAAAAATGGATCACAATAGAGTGAATGCTTCATAAACACTCACACAATAAAACAAAAACTGATTCTAATAATCACGTTTACATTAATCCAGAATTGAAACCGTCACTGGTAATTCTACACCTCACAGCGTAGTTAAATGGCAATAAAAAGGAAGAGACAAACTAAAAAAAATTAAAGCACAACATTAGGACATCTCAAAATTAAAAACGTGTAAAATCCTTACTGAAGGTCGTCTAATCAGCAAGTTTAAAAATCTCATTTTGCTTAAGTATTAAACCTCCAGATGAAAGGGGAAAGATTAAAACAGATTATTTGAGCCAATACACATTTGACTTTTATTTACTCCAACCTTAAGATTGCCGTGAGTTACGAGAGTTAAACAAAAGTACGGTAGCCTGGGTGCTTTATCATGAGTTTTTCCCTCTCTTCGGCTCTGTTTTAACTCTACATTCAGCTGTGTGTAAAACAGCTACAAAAAGAAGAGATCTGAAACCACGAGTAGTTGCTTTATCTGCTGACCTGATGATCTGATCTTTGCTGTAGGCCCTCAGTGGGTTTGGCTTGTAGGTGTCAAGAAGGTCGGTGAAACAAACTGTTCCCGTGCCGCCAAAGGGAAGTTTGACATAAAGGCCGACTTGTGGCTGAATATTTGACACGATTCCTAAAACAGTGCTGCCTTTCTCCAGCTTATGGACACCTGGGAAATGAGAGGAAACCAGAGATCGAATCCGTTAAAACTTTTGGGTCACTTCATTTTGATTTCCAAAGCACCAGATCTAATAAATGAACAGGATCTGAGCAGCTTCTACCTGTGAGTGAAAGCAGGAGGCGATTATGTTTGGCTTGAACCTCCACCACTACAGCACGAACTGTTTGGCCCAGTTTGTACAGTTTCTCTGGGTGTTTAGCATCCTAAGGAAAAAAAATAAAAATACAAACACTTGATTTAGGACTAATCAGTTTCTTCCACTGTGTGAATGCCGATTCAGCATTGCTGTTTTTGCAGTCAATTGACTTTTGGTTTCTGAAATTTGTATACTTTTCAAAAATATTTACATTTATTTACAAATAATGTCCCCATTCAAATACAATGAGATCCCTTTAATTCATTCAGAAACATGATTATACTTCTTTTAGCTTGTCCTTATCTGCTTTAAGCTACACTGATAATATGAGCTTTTAGCCACCTTCCACATCTTTTACCTTATCGCTAGTGTTCTCCTTTCAGCTTTACTAGTGTAGCTATGAACACTACATTTCAACGTCTTTAGCAAATTTCAGCAATAGTTATTTAGCACTCATGCTGCATTGACAGAAAATGCATTTTAGCGTTTGGCTAGCCCTTTGGTACTTTTAGATAGCTCCCTGCCTCTGTTAGCAAGCCCTTTGCTTCTGTTAGATAGCCCCTAGCTTCTGTTAGATAGCCCCTAGCTTCTGTTAGATAGCCTCTTGCTTCTGTTAGCTAGCCTCTTGCTTCTGTTAGCTAGCCTCTTGCTTCTGTTAGCTAGCCC